CAGGAGCACGAGACGCAGCCCATCCCAGAAAACGAACTGTAACAGCCACCTCCATTCCCAGCCAGTGCAGCAAATGCCGAGAGAATCAGTTGCTCGGTACTTCCTTTTCAACCTACCAAATCAATCCAAAGCGATGGCAGAAGCCCAGAAACTTGAGCAGATAAACCTCGGAAACGCCGCACTGTCTCCTAGCAACCTGGTGGAAACGACTGGTAACAGGAGCAAAGAGTATGTTACTTAAGAAATCATATCATGATAATAGGTAATGGCTCGAGTGGCAAATGGTGCAGACACACCATACGCCACTTGCCCAAGCGTTTCCATGACATTTTTGAGTACCACTTCGAATGTGGCACCACAAGAAATATGCGGAAAAATTTACTGAAAAGACGGTGACTTCAGATTAAGAGGCAAACCTGAGATTTCGGACGACTGCGAAATGAACGTGTCCGGATTAAAGAAAATAGGTGCAACTGCTGGATGGTTCAAAATGAAGAAATCAAATTTTAGCATAACATTTTTTACCCTCGTAACATTTAGTCAGATCAAACTAACAGCAAAAAGACAGAGGCAACCCAAGGACAACAGGTATGGAGATTCGATGTTAATACAGGATGTGACCAAAGGCCGACGCAGCTGTGCCAGGCGTTCCAGAGTTCAGTTAGCATCCTCTTTTCGTACTATGTGTGCGCCATCTTACCGAAAGCCACTTGCTAAGAAGTGATGTCCATCGGTTGTCAGCAAAGCACATATACTGCACTTCAGATTTTACCTCCTTGTGTAATCGTTGCAGCATCCCAACCTAATAGGCTCTGAGCGAATACTGCAACGAAGAGACACTCTAAACATTCTTCGCTTAAATGCTCTTCGTAGTGACGCGCATCTGCTCATCGACTTGCATCAGTGACCGCACATCCACAATTCGGTACTTTTAGCACAATGGAACCGAAGAAGCGAGCACGGTTCTTCCGACCCGACTCTTAAAGACGCCAACAATGTTGTAAAATTTGCACCAACCCATAGCCCTTCGGCGAGTAACAACCGACTGAAGGTTGCGGCGCTTACTTATGTCATGCCCAAGATAGACAAAACCGCTTTTTCCCATGTTTGGCCACGGAGACACCGGCATCCAGCACCACCTTCATTTTTTTTTTTGGCGATGAATTTTGAAAGTATTTCCTTGCATCGTATGTTCATCACCTGCAGCATATTATCCAATTCTCACCCTGATCGCAAGGGACATGTCGTCCCTGAGGTGTAAATGTTCTGATCGGTGAGCAGCGATGTTCAAACCACCTGAGCAATCCAACTATCGAAATTAACATTTCCACGGAAGCGCTCAAAGAATCGTCCTGCCTTACACCTTTTTTAGTCGGTGTAGAAAATTTGTCTGCGAAGTGCTCTGCCGGCTGATCGTCCTGAATTCAGTTCGCTACGTGAGGCAAACTGATTCATACAGAATTTCTCGCATCTTTTACTCATCTGCTCCATCCGGAACGCGACATCTTTCCTTCATTTCACGCTTATCCCCATGCGGCGGCGTCTCACACTTTGTTTTGCTCTGCGCCCGATGCTGAGCTGCATGACCGTCACTGCACAAGTACTCACTGTTCAGATTGACTGTGATCCGAATCGCTGGAACTGCGCCGGCCAAAATTTGTTAAAGCCTCCTCATGGCTTGCACAAAAAACCTACACGCCGCCCACCCAACTAGGAATTCAACATCACGATGAAGAGGCATGGGAAAGTGGATGTAAGTGAAAAAAGGGGAGGGAGTGAAGGGGGAGGGAACCGAGATTTATGAGAGGTATGAGAAAAAATGATGGCTAAATTCGTCGAAAATGATCCTTGCTTAAGAAGAGAGGGGGAAGCTTTCTTAGGAACAGAAAGAATTATTTAAAACAACTATCCCTCTTAGTTTCGTTCCCTAACGGTGGGCCCCAAAACATCGAAAAAATGGTCCACTTGTCATCAAGCTTCATAACCTCAAATCCAGCAAGTAAGCAAAACTTCCACTTCGGAATCTCACAGTCCTTTTGTTGGAAAGACCTTGCATCTCAATTTCCAGCTTATTATCGAGCATCACCATTGTTGCTATTTATATTATTATTAATTACTGTTGTTATCATTGTTA